GGCCGAGGCAAATAACCGAGAACTAACAACTGAAGACTGTGTTCATTGTAAAATTATTTTACCAAACAGACAATAGTAGATAGGCTGCCAAGTTCAGAAACAATCCGATTCAAGTTTTGAGGGGAATACCAACACCATAGGTGTTACAGTTTGACTTAGTTTTGTTCCTTTAGATTTGATTGGGCAGCTCTTCTTTTGAGGAACTGAGGGGCAATAACTATGTGGCAATGTTTAGAAATGACACGAGAAAAGTATGGTGAAATGGCCATGTATTCGTGACATGTAGAAACAGCATTGATATTACACGTGACTTATGCCTCAACTACACCTGGTCCTAATTTAAAGGAAATAAAAACAGTCGGGGTAACAAAACAATCTGAACGAAACGCATGCTTGAAGTCATACGTTACAAAGGTTAGCTCCCTGTCGTTTGTGGTTCTGACATTTGTTTATTGGCAGGAATTTTATAAACCGACATTTCTATTAACAAACCACGCCTGATTACTCCGGTAAATTATGAAAGGATGTAGCAGGCCCGTAAGTTTCAAGTAGTTCATTTTAAGCTTTGAGAATGAACGTAAAATATAATTAAGAGATTTGAATTTACGAACAATAAATGGTATTACTCAATTAAGTTAGATTTTCAATAAACAAACTCTTGAATATCTTTGGTTTTAACTGTGAGGGTCAAAAAATGCTGTGTAGCAGAAATAGTTAATGAAAAGCTAGTTAGAGAACACATCGGAAAATCTTAATTCATAAAACATGTCTGACAGATCCTGTAATCTAAGGACAAAAGCTTGCCGAACATTAAGACGAGTTTGGGTCTGGTAAAGATAATTTGAACACGGTAAATAATAATAAGGGATAAGCATATAGAAAGAAATAACATTTAAATTCAACAGGCCTATGTAACTGGTAGGCAGTAAGTATAAACTAGTGTTGAGAAGTTATTAAAAATAGTGTGCTGACGTTGTAGAAACACAACAAACTTGCTTGTGTTCGAAGTTTATCTATAATAATAACTTGGGAATGCACATGGCCCAATTTCGACTTTAATACAATACGCCAATATGGTCAAGTAAAAATGTATTAAAGTTATTTTGAACGTTTCAAGGTCTACATGACAAAAAAGGTTAAAGACAAAATTAACACCTTGTCAATTATGGAGGCATCCTCATCCCGTTCTTGAGGAAAAAGATGCGGGGGCAGATCGACTACAAACCAGGGGTGTTTGCGAATGTCGTCGATGCTGATTCGTTTGATTGGATCCACAGTGAGCATTTTCTTCAAGAGATCACGAACCTGCGATTCGGGAAGATATAAAATCAGTAACTCAGTAGGTAGCAAGTCTGATGACACAATGGCGTGAGACGGTTAAAGGATCATTTACGGGCTCTTGAACAAGTCGAGGGATAACATGAAGCATTTCACGACTTTGCTACCAAAACCTGCGCCACGTTTAAGAAAATGAAAAAAAAATGAATGCAAATTTAAAACTATGCATAATGCAGACTAAACTATTTGCGAAAAACAAATAAAAAAAGAAATAGTTTGCTCATTCCTCACAAATTGGAAGAAATCAAATAAAAAGGAAAGCCTTTATGACCATAGAGTGACTTCAACAATAGTCGTGACAGTAAACGAGACATTTGAAGTGATTCGAAACAATGATTTATTGACCTTCCCATACCATTAAAGCCTTTAAAAAGTGTTAGACAAAATATTCCTTGAGCGCTCAAAGCCATAAATACCAGTTGAAATAATTGAAAGTGGGAACATAAATAAATGGAATAGTGAAACATATACGAGACTTGATCCAAAAGAAAACCTTTTTAGACAAGCAAATGCATAAACATTCAACACAGCTAAGTTTTGGGTCCCTCTGCGTTGGTAGCTTGATACCGAGGGGATTTGTGATAATATCCGTTCGATCAAGCTTTGTATTAACAGAGCCATCAAAAATTGATGAGTCACGTAGCAGTTAGTCGATATCCAAATGCGCTAGTCATAAAAGCATGTGGCCTCAAGAGAAAAAAAGCTGAGACGTCCGAATATCAGTGACATTCCTAATTTTGGCGTAAGGAGTCACGGGAATGTTGCATGGATCGTATGGTCGCTGACAAATATTCCAAACTATGAAAGCAGGGACTGACTGGGTGTTGCATTTTAATATACCGCCAGCAAATTACACTTCAAACTTACACCTGCGCCTAACCAATCAGGCATGTGGAAGTAGCCGGCCTTAATCTTCTTAAAAAGGGTGGGGATGTGTTCCTCATCAAAGGGGAGCGTTCCACAAAGGAGAGCGTACAAGATCACACCGCATGACCAAACATCAACCTCAGGACCGGCATATAATTTCCCCGATATAACCTCCGGAGCGGCGTAGTTAGGTGATCCGCAGGATGTCCGTAGAAATTCGCCGTCTTGCATAATATTTGATAGACCTAGAGAAGTATGCCACATTCGATGAAACGAGAAATATGGTTAGTATAAATGGTGACTGTCGGCAACATACTGGGGTTCACACCATAGCCAAATCGCCGTGAAGCAAACCGTTAACACATAAAATTCTACGTCTGCTAGTACGACTAGCAAGTTTCTAGAGTTTTCTTTCCAAAACAGAATAAAGCTTAAGATCGAAAAGATTTTAATGGATTAATAAACCGAAAATTGCATCTGAATAATGGAATTTTAATAGATACTGACGATAAATCGTTTAACAAAGGGCTTTTAATCAAGTGAAACAGACAAAAGGTGCATTACTGGAAAAAAATTAGCAACAACAAATTTCACAACCCAACAGATATTCAAAAAAAAAACTAAAAACTGGGTGATGACAGCCAGGACCCTTCACATGGATTTTGTCACCTGAGTTACACCAAACATAACACGAGCACAAGGACTTCAAAGGCGACTTCAACACAGGATAACAATGGTAAATCTAATGACCGTACGACCAAATTTTGGTGTGTTAGAATTCATCAACAGGCTTTCGTAAAAATACTGTAAATACAATACAGACAATACGAGTATTTACATTTGCTTTAAGCACAAAACTGATGTGGATCGAGATGATTAAGACGAAGATGTTAAGACAATCATTCAAAAGCCATTGGGCAGGTAATTGACGAAGCGAATTTGCATTTTGCAAAAAAACATACCGAAATCGGCTATCTTTACGTTGTGATTGCAATCCAACAAAAGATTCTCCGGTTTGAGATCACGATGAACAACCTTATGACGATGGCAGTAATCAACACCGGATATAATTTGTTGAAAGAATTTACGAGCGTCCCTCTCGCTTATTTTTCCAGATTTAACGATAAATTCAAATAGCTCTCCGCCACTTACGTACTCCATTATCATAAATATATCAGTTGGGGTACTTATGACCTAGGTACATAATATAAACAATTTGAAAAGTTACCTGGTATAGCTTTATTATATGAGGGTGACGAAATAACCAGAGGTTCTGAATTTCTCGTCGAAGCTTACCAGCAACATCTAGAGCTTTAATCTTATCTCTATTCACGATCTTGACTGCGACTTGGACACCAGTTGACTTGTGGATTGCAACTTTCACCTTGCCAAATGTGCCGGAACCAAGGGTTTCGCCAATTATATAATTGCCTATGCGAACTTCTACCGGTGCTTTAGGCACAGAACGACGAGAGTCCGCCATTTCAAGCTACAGTAAACCGAAAACTTCTGTTGTGTGGTGTGGCGTCGGATTAGGGCGCAGACATATTAGACCACCTGGCCTCAGCCAATCCTGTGTCTCTCTGCAATCCAA